CTTTAGAGATACATGAAGTTTTCCACAAGGATGCCACCTTAAACTCCTTCACTACCCCCACATCTCAATTATAAATTTTCTTTTAACTAAAATTTGTATTAATAAGATGTGCAGTCGCTATCAAGATCCTCTCTCTCCTAACATGTTGTAAACTCATAAGACAGAAGAGATTCAGGACTGACTAATTGACAAATTATATAGTCAAGACATCATTCTAGTTCTCTTTCCAACATGCTCACATTTCAGAGATGCTAACCTAGTTATGTTTCCCAGAAAATTGACCGGGCTCTAGTTCTTTGATGCTGTCAACGCAATTAGCTCACTCACTCAACTAAAAGCCGCAGATTTTCTCTTGCATCAAGTAAAGAATCACAAACTTCTCAATATGTTCAATTTCAAGTCCAATTGAATTACTGTTTTAGTAGATCTAACAGATTCCTCACTTGTCTATGACTATAACACAGAATCTGCGGAATGGTTCCATCTACATGAGGCAATGCATGGTTAGTGACTTATAATTTAGTTAAGATTGGCATTCAATGTCATTACCTGAGAAAGCCCAACTAAATTGTAGCCATCGCTAAGTTCGCTCATGTTCTTCACCTGTGATATCGAAATTTTTCCAGTAAAAGTGAATTTCAGGTACCAGAAGACAATACATATCTCCAGAAACTGTCAGCACCTTCTCACAAGCAATGGCGGTCTGAAAGGCAAGGTACATAACAGATTGTCATGGATTGTCAGATACAAATCATTAAGGATAACAAGCAATAGCCATTTGACAACTTACCTGCTTTAGAAGTGGCATAGTCCACGAGTCCCATGAGCCGTCTCCTATTTCACTACAAAGTAAGAGATAGTGGAAAGAGTAAATGAACAAAAATAAGTCCATTTTCTAATGAAATTCAAAAAGATTAATCATGGCACCAATGTGGGAGAAAATTCTAGACGAACATGCAAAACAAAAGGTTAAGTTAAACAAAATAACCCACTGACGAATGCAATTTTGCCATTAACAAAGATTGTCACGGTGGTTCAGATAGGACACTAATTGCCAATTCCATGAACAGACATAATTGTAGCTAATGTTCCATAGAGGTACAAATTCAAAACATCGGAAGAATAGTCTTAAGAACAAGTATATAAACATCATTCTAAAAGTAATATGTTTGAAACTTCCCAAAGCATGGGAAAATAAGAAAATAATATGCATTGATTAATTGTTGGGGCCTCATGCAAGCATTTCCTTGGCAAAGCATCTCATTAACCATTGATTCAGATAAAACAGAGTTTCAAAAAGTAAAATGAAAAAAAATCTATGTGAAGCTGAATCTTGAAAATGTTTATTCAAAGAAAGCAACCATACATGCAGTGGCCTTCAGAACCGGACCAGTTGCTTAAGAGCTCAGTGAAGCGTGTGACTCCTTTGTTGCTGCACTTGTCGCTAATACCTGATGCAAACAACCCATGAAACGTCATCCTGTTTAGAGGAAATGTCAACTGGGGCAACTACCAAGACCGACATGTACAACAGTGCGGTGTGTGCCACCAGTGCTCGTTTTCCACAAACTCTTGGACCTCTCGCTCTTATGACACTGGAGCCCAAGACTTGACTTAGTGGAGCAAACACGTATGGCACACATTCCTTGAGAATTGTTTCATCCAAGAAATGGACAAGGTCAAGAATGCTTTTCAGTACTCCTCAATCCCCGGTGTGCATCTAATTGAAGTAGTTATCTATAATCATGTTAGACAAACTGTTCATCATAAAAGCTTAAGATAAAGGAAACGGGCCAACAATATATTTGTAGGATATGGTTGAAAACTCGCCCTTGAATCTACGTTGGCCCTTGCGCTCAGGTTGTGGATGGAACCACATTAACGAAATAATCGAGGAAATGTGAAAACAGGCAGAATAACAGGTTTAACAAGCCGGAGAAAATTGAGAGGGAGTGTCAAGCTTCGAAGCCTTGACCTTAACTCCTGATACCATGTTAGACAAATTGTCCCTCCCAAATGTTTAAGTTGTAAGGAAATGGGCCAACAATGTATTTATAGCTTGTGACTTGACAAATCACAATCGAAATGTTTCTTGGAAAGATGCCAGTTGAATACAAATGGTTTCATGACAACCTCACACTGCGCAAAGTTTTTTAGAAGAACAAGACAGTCACAACTTCAACTCTACATTCCTGTTCTTCTAACGAAAAAGGCACTAAGTACACCAGTACAAACACTAAGGATAGAGAGATAGAACTACTATGCAAAAGCTAAATAGAGTTAGGAAATGAAGATGATTTCAAAAGCTTATTTATATCAAGCCGCATAGTGACTCATTGCCAATGCATGGAAGCATAATCATGGGATTTCGTTTTTCCCCCTTCCTAGTCACAGATTGTATCACCGCTGGTTATAACTCATATCAAAGAAAGAACAGGGAACAACATGCCTTTTACCACCGACCTCAAACAACACCGTCCTAGAAGTCGACCAAGCGAGAACCAAACAACTTAGTTGAGGACCAAGTCAAAAAAGAAAAAAACAAGAAAACAGAGTCCCAAATCCTACAGCTAGTCATACTACCAACAACTCATGCTTAACCAATAGTATCACTGAAGGAAATAAATCAGCAAACACAAGATAGGCATGGCAACGACCCCCGCTTACCTAACAACAGAACAGAACGGTTTCACAACCAAGAAGAACAACGGCAAGCGGGGCATGAACGACCAGGTTCAAAACACACCAAGAATGAACAGAACGCGAATAAGGGAGGCCGCGAAAATTCACCGTGGAAGACCACGAAAGGGAGGGACTGCGTCACCGGCGCCAGAGCGAAAGCCAGCACGGCGACAGTGCCGAGGACGGTGGTCAGCGGGTACGAAGCCATTGATGCCGAGGTGAAGCTGGAAGGAAGGAGACGGAGGGGCAGGCTCTGTTTCAGTAACTTAAGAAGAGTGATCGTTGACAAGCATCAGCATATTTTCAGGAATCTAACGCTCTTGAATTGTCGGCATTATCTGCGTAATGAGAGAGAGAGTGTGTGTGGATTGATAGGTGTGGAACCGCCATGGAAGCGCCAACTACCTTTCCAACTGCTGACAAAGATCTCTGACTCATGCTTTCTGGTCGTTGAGTCATGAGGGAGATGAGCACAAAATTGGAAGAAAACTATGGTAGTTAGTTTGCTCTTTCTTTTGCCCAAAACATCATCATACCAATAACAAAAATCGTTTTAATTGATTACTACCTAAACACAAAACAATAATAATACTCTGTGCCGCTCTATCTGTTTTGCGAAAGATAAATAATTTTAAAAAAAACATTTTTCTAACGCGGTGTGCGAGTGAATAATCTATCCCGAATTTAATGGAGTGGGTACGCCGTAAAAATCATGTTAGCCATCTCGATAAAATATGCGATGATCCATCCATCTTCGAGTTTAATTGTGTCGTCCGAATGTATTTAAATTCGATAACTAAAGATAGTGTAAGGTAGGCATTCATGTACATATTTCATAATATCTGAGCTGCGCACTGGTCTTATACTCAATGTATGCTAAATATAGGTTCTTTCAAATTTGTTTACATGCTTGATGCCTCTGAACTTGGACTTTATTCTAGCAATGATTTATTATTGCAACTGAAATCTGTCAATTTACCACTGGTTGCATGGCATATATTTCAAGGTAACATAAAAGTGAAGACAAACAAAACAAAAGGCACATAGATAGAAATAAAATATGTGTCTCCATGACTTGCTCTCCCTAGAAAGTTTATGAACGAACATAATCAATTACAGACTCCATTTATTTTGCGAAAAATGAACAATTGGGAAAGCACTTTCCTCAAAATATTTACTTGTATCGTTTGAAATAATGAGTCAATAATTTTTTTTTATTATAGCTAACAATTTATATCTAAATATTTTTGTAAACAATGAAAATATTTTTTTTGCGTATATTTTTGTAAGCGATTATTTTAGGAAAATATTTTCTTAAATCATTCATTTTTATCGAAACAAACGCACCCTTAAATTATAGCTTCCTTTCGGGTCATGGTTGAAAAAAATAATTTGTAAGCAATTAAAAAATAATAATCGAACTTATCACATAGGCGAAAAAGAAAAAGAAAAAAAAAACTCATCACATAGGCGGCTGTTGTTTGGATAATTAAAAAGAGCTAATGACACAAATGGTCCCTAAACTTTGGCTTAATGAGCAGTATGGTCTTTGAACTTTTAATTTATTCAATGTGATCCATCAACTTTATCCTAATGTTCAATGTGATCCCCAAACTATATATAAATGTTCAATGTAATCCTTCAATTAATAGAAAATTAATAATAACATTAAATATTTTCGTATAGTTCAAGGATTAACTTGAACATGTAACAAAAGTTTAGGGATTACAATACACATCGAGCCAAAGTTCGGAGATTATTTATGTCATTTTTTTAATTAAAAATAATAATTATTATCCTCTTCTTTTGGTCCCAACTCGCCCTCCTAGAAAACACCTTTCGCTTGTTATCGTCTCAAGTCGAAGACAACTTCGCGACAAACACCTCATCAGACTTAGCAAAAAAGGGCGGAAACGGCGTCGTCTTTATTTTGGGGGGGTTAGAATTAGCATTAGGACCTCCTCTCTCTCTCTCTCTCTCTCTCTCTCTCGATTCTTGAACAGAGCGAAAAAAAATTGGGGCTTTATTAGGGTTCTTCGACGGCTTCCGACGAGTCGGCGACCGACGGCGAGGTGCGAATGTGGCTTCCGATTCGGCGTTCTTCAGCGCTCGTGTCGCGTGGAATTTCGAATTCCCGAGCTGGACGAACGGAATTCGTGTTCTGATCGTTCGCTCTGATCCGTTCGTCGCAGGGATTGATTCCGTGCAGCAGCGGTTTTTCTTGTTTTGAGAGAGGAACCTCTTCGGCGGACGCTGGGAAGATCGTTGAGAAGAAGAGGAACCTCGAGCGCAAGACCCATCTGAGGAGGACCGTCGTCTGAGAGTTTTATTGGAGGTACGTTCACGCGACGCGACGAAATGAGCTTCTGTTTTTTTTTTTTTTTGATCGAATAAATGAGCTTCTGTTCTCTCTGAATTTTTTGCATTTTTAGTCTCGGGCCAGTGTTGTTTTCAGATGGGTACTTTCGATGTTTTCGGATTCTGTGGGGCGTTTGCTGCTGCTTCTTTTTTTCTCTTTTTAGCTGAGATTTTCTAGATAAATCTCGCAAGTTCTCGTTCCCTCTTGGAGAATTGGTATAATTTTCGAACGTCATCGTGTAATCTGGCTCATTTTCCAACCGATTAGGGCGACCCGTACCCTGAATTGAGTTGGTTCTTCTTCAGTAGCGTGATTAGCTTTCAATTTGCGGCGAATTGGATTCGACTTATCTCAGGTCGAATGTATTGTTCGTGGTTCCATTTTGATATTGGATTGGGTCTGAGATGTCAGCATGGCTTTGAGTTCTCTAGCTGGGCTACTTCTGTTTCTTCAAAATCTTTTTCTCTTACTGGATTTTGTCCTCTTGAAACTTTTTTAGCCAAGTACCTAATTAAGTGAAATAGCTCAAGGTGGAGACATGTTTGATTAACAGATTTTTAGTCCAGTTTAAATATTGTGTGAAAGATACATGCTGTGTTTCACATGGAACTGCTTTCTAATGAATGAGGCCTCATAGATGGTGGAGACTCTGTCTATATATAAAGCTGAAGCATTAAATGGAGATAGATTTGGCTGATTGGCAAGGTTCTTGCTTAGACACGGTCGCTCTAGTGGACTTTCTAATTGATATTAGAAACAAAGATAGTCCTTGCTTGGAGTTTGAATTATTTGGCAATTCTGGGTTTCCATCGATTACTTTTTGATAAAATTGCATGTGCAGTGTTTTTGCTTTTTGGAACACCCAAGCGGTGAGCCTGTGTCATAGTGGTAGGCCATGCTTTATTATAAGTGGGTGTTTGCTTGTCACCCTGATAATACTTCCTTGGCTTTTCTCTGCCAAAAACTTTAACCCTCCTACCAATGTAAATGTGCAACTTATATGTGCCTGCAATTTATTGATTTTGTGGCTGACAGATCATCCCAAATGTCTACATTTCAGGACTTACATTCTCCCAATAGTTATGGTGGATTCTGGTGAGGCTAAGCAGGCTGAACCAGGAAATCTGGAGGAGACAAGTGAAAAGCAAACATCTGAACAGGGTAATTCCTGATGTACCATACAAACTCCTATCTCTCCAGCAGCTTCTAAATCATGCTGCTTGTAGTTTCATTCTTAAAAATATTAGTATACTAATTCTGTGTTTCTTCCATTGTCAGTGTGTAGCTTTTTCAGAAAAGCGCCCAAAAATAAGAATATCAGAAAGCGAGTTGTTGAAGAAGATGATGATGAAGATTCCAAGATGGAAGTGTTTCATTATCAGAAGAAACCTCAAAGGACAGAAAACAAGCTGTATTTCTCAACTGGATCCTCCAAGAGCTCTGTGTCTGCAGAATCAAAGGTTGATTCTGATAAGCCGATATTTCAATTTGAGTCTTCAAAAGAAATTCAAGTTGAACATGATAGCAGAGCAACCGCAACTCTGGAAACTGAGACTGAGTTCTCAAAAGATGCTCGAGCTATTCGAGAGAGAGTTCTTAAGCAAGCAACTAATGAGATGAGTGGGAAAAGTAAGGGCGCAGGTGATGAGAAGCTGTATAAAGGGATCCACGGTTACACTGATTACAAGGCAGGGTTTCGGAGGGAGCAAACAATATCCAGTGAGAAAGCTGGAGGGGCACATGGGCCCCTGCGAGCTTCAGCTCATATTAGAGTCTCAGCAAGGTTTGATTATCAGCCTGACATATGCAAGGACTACAAAGAAACTGGTTATTGTGGGTATGGAGACGCATGTAAATTTATGCACGACAGAGGAGATTACAAATCTGGGTGGCAGTTGGAGAAGGAGTGGGATGAGGCGGAGAAGGCAAGGAAGAGAAATTTAGCCTTGGGAGGGGATGATGGAGATGAAGAGGATGTTGACCAAACAGAGGATGAAGAAGATGATGAATTGCCCTTTGCATGCTTCATTTGTAGAGAGCGATTTGTTGATCCAGTCGTCACGAAATGCAAGCACTACTTCTGTGAGCATTGTGCATTAAAGGTAAATATCTGCATCTGGCCTTTTATTCATTTATTTCCATTCTATCTGGAATATGCTGGCATTATGCTGTGCTGCTAGGGATAGAGAAGGTACACCTCTTAGGGGGTGTTTGGTTGGGCTTTGCCAAGGAGCTTTGAGCCTCCAAAGCCCTTTGGGGGAATTATTTTGTGTTTGGCAAATCATTTTTGGAGTTCTTTGGCCAAATGCTGGCCTTCTCAAGGCTGAAAGCCCAAGGCTGGTCCGGACCAGCCTTGGGCTTTCAGCATTCCACGAATGCTACTGTTCACATTTTTTTTTTTTTTTTTGGGTTGAATCTGTTCTTCACCAGGCAGCCGGCGAGGGCGGCCGGCGAGGGAGAAGGGCCGGCGAGGGTGGCCGGCGAGGAGAGCGGCCGGCAAGGTCGCCAGGGGTCGGCGGCCGCTGCCGGCGGTAGATCTGGCTCGCCGGCGGTAGCCCGACCTCGGGCTACCGCCGGCGAGCCAGATCTGCCGCCGCCGGCGGCCGTAGGCCCTCGCCGGCGGCCGGCTCCGGCGACGGTAGGTTTTGTTTTTTTTTTAATAAATAAAATAATTCTCAAAGTCCATTTGCAAAAAAAAATTCACCAAACACTATATTTTGGCCAAAGTAGCTTTACAAAATATTTTTACCAAACACCATTTACATTTGCCCAATGGGCTTTCACTCAAAGGTATTTGCATTCCCCCAAGTAGCATTTTCAAAGTTGAACCAAACAGGCGTCATCTCCAATATGTGAGGTGTATGCTTGCTTCCTTTATTTTCTTTTCTCTTCCTTCCTTTCTTTTTTTCTCTTTATTTTTCTTATTGTGCTGCAGTTGTAGCATTTAGCTGGATTGGATCGTGTGCTATATGTTCTGTAGGTGTGAAATCATTTACAAAAGCATTATATGCGTGATTTCTCTGGGATAATATGATGAGTTTGCTTGGGTAGACCGGGACGGAACCAAAAGTACCGTTATTATTTAGGTTCCTCTAATTTTAAGTTCTTAATCAGCTTAAATATGTTAGTCAAAACAATCAATTTTGGATTAAGCTAGCATTAGGCTTTTTCACTTGGGGGGGTTGGTTTGTTAGTCATATGATGATGTATTCATTGGTAATCAAATTAGCAATCTAGAACATTTCGAACATCAGGTCGTATCACTATGATTTTGTCTTTTTGCAAATGTGGTGGCTTTTATTTTTGGGTTTTGAAGGTTGGCAGAGGGAGTGGTAGTTGTTGTTCTCGGTGACGTTGTTTTGGCAACCTGTGATTATGCTGCATTTCCTATAATCCTTCATGTGTTGGTACTTGGAATGACGCATACATGGAGAGTATATCCTTAAAAGCTCAGATATGTGCCATCCGGATTTGGTTGCTTGCTAGTACAGTGAACTTTGGTTGGCATGCGAGTAGCTGCTTTTCTTTTTTTCCATGTCTTCTGTCAGTGTCATGGATGAGTTCTAATTTTTATTTCCCTTAGAAATGTCCTGGTCACAATACTTGAATCTAGGGGTGGTTGTGGTTGCTGAATGAGTTTAGTCCTGAGTGGGATAGTCCACAGATTGGCTCCACTCTTAATGATTCAACTTTTCTATTTCCATTTTCAGCATCATGCGAGGAACAAGAAGTGCTTTGTTTGCAACAAACCCACCTTGGGTATCTTTAATGCTGCTCCTGAGATACGGAAGAAAATGGCTGCAGAAGGTAAATAATGCTTCATTGCTTGCTCAATTCAGTGAATTTACCTGAACCTTCAGACAGTTTTTCTGAGTACACATAGAACTAGCTTACGAGAAACTCTAGAGGTTATATTGTGGTTGGAGAGGCTAATGTCATTGCTTATTTAGTAGTCATGAACAATCTCGCTCTGTATCAGCTAGCTGATTATTTTTTTTGTAAATTTTCGTCTTTCGTAATTTGCCTATTCTGTATTGTTTAACTCTATCCCTTTCTGAAGAAGTATTAACTGTATCATAATCCTCCACATTTGCAAAACTATGGCACTATGACCAATAATACTAGAATCTTTTTCAATTTATATTATCTTAGTGACTATATATCTAACAGGTTACTGAAAATTTTTCATACTATATTATTTTTTGTCATACTCTATCAGTTTCTTCTGGAGTCTCATGTCACGGAACATCTATAAAAGTTGAGTCCCATCATTAATGATGTTCACTAATGAGAGAACTCCATTAATAATTATTATCTGTGTTTTCATATGTATATACTTTATAGATCAGTAAAATTGGCTCTTAACATTCAATGTGGTTTAGTAATACTTGATTGGTCGCATCATCAAGGAGATAATAGAAAAAGATGAACCTACAAAAAGAATTCAATAAAAGAAAAATCGATGAAGAAATCAAGCTTCACCATTTACTGAAATCTGTTATGTAAACAATTTATTACAGATTTCTCACTGAAGATTAAAGGAGATATTAATATTATAAATTTCAGTCATGTATAGCCCACGCACCTAAGTTAACCTGTGCACCATACGGTGTTACTAACTAGTTTAGGAAGTTTAGGGAGTGCTAAATTCCCTCGATTATGGTTGAAATTTATTACAACTCATCTGATGGTCGGGTTTGCAACGAGTTTTTGAGGACAATATTTTTCTTTGATCGCTATTGTGGAGTTTGGACATTGATGTCCAGCCCTCAGTGGGTCACCTTTTACTTGTCATGTCTACCTAATTTTTTTTCCAATCTGGGTCAACTATCTGCTTGTTCAGTTCTCTCAAGTGATGGTGATAGCTGCATTACAAACAAGGATCTGTTAGTTTAGCAATACTCTTTTCTTTGGCTAGAACTGATGCTTTCATTATTTTTTTGCCGACTGCTCTTTCAATTGTTTATTAATGTTAGGAGGGAGTTTTTGTCATGTTTCTGTAGTGATGATACTGTATATTTACTCGCATCTATTTTGAAAATTATGTGCTTTCCAATGCAGGTGGAAAATGACGAACGCTGTCAATAAAAGTGGCAAATATAGTGAAAAGGTCCAGGGTTGCACTGGTAATATCCCTTTTTACTAAAGCAGATTGCCAAATATTGTCGCTAGGACAACACCTGAACTTTGCTATTGCATCTTTCCTTTCAGGAACTATTTTTCCATTAGAGAAGAAATTTGAACGACTCATAAAAAAAAAGGAGCTAGGAGGGTACCCAAGACAACCGAACTTCTCATTCCCAGGTCCTTGGAGTAGTTGACTGACTAATTCCCCTGCTAGAAATGCTGTCAACGTGGACAGGGTGGTGCGTGTTTTTGGACAGAATGGCCTTGCTGTAGTTGTCCCATCATGCGAAGTCTGTAGCCCGGCAATAGACCACAATAGACTGAGTACATGTTCATGGTCAATAGCTCCTTCCTTTAGGGTTAGGCGCAGTTAAGTTCGGCTTGGTCAGAATTATATGGATGTACATTCAGTTGCAGGGCTTGTATTTTTTTTCTTTGCTCTGTCTCGGATGATGTCACCTTTATATTACTCTCCAAATCATGCCATTCCAATCAGAATGAGCACCTTCGAAATGTTACTCTTTCAAGTTTTACCCACTTGAAAGACACACAGAAAGCCAGTTGGTGTTATTCTTGTGATAATTAGGGATGTGTTGAAAATTATATTATGCTAGAATGATGCTTCACCTTCCACATGCAAAATCAGACTCAACCGACCCTCTTCTCAGTCTCTACATGCATGAGATATCACGGTCGCTCCAACTTGTTGGGTTTGTATATACCACAATAAGAAACCAACCCTGGTCAGTTTAAATTGAGCTTAGGGCAGGATCTTGTTATTCCTTCTTGGACCTCTTCTCCATTGTTTCTGGAAATCATCTTCCCTGTCGGCATCCATGCTTGAACTGATCTTGCCGCGGGCAAAGGTCATCCGACCTCGATGTTGATCTTGTGCAAACATAGCAGGCTGTCCATGAAATGCATTACGCGACCAAACCATCTCACTGTTAGACGAAATTCATCGAACAGACAACTCATCCTTTCCTCTTCTATTGATCCCTCAAGCAAGGAGAATCCTACCGAACATGGCGACTTAATCATTGTCCTTGCGTCGATTCTATAGATGTCGACTTTCTTATGTGGCAAGTCCTTTTAAGTTTTCCTTGATACGCCATTAGTGGCCCTCAGCTTCATGCGAAAAGTATAGCAAGATGGGGGTTGCTTTAACTTGAAAGGGCAATGTGGCAACCCTCCCGAGACGAACCTTTGAGAGGGGTTTAGCATATTGCTAGGTGGGTGTCTATAGCCCTGTTGTTAGGTAGTGCTTACATTTTGCATAAACTCTCTAAAGGTTTAACGTTCACAGCTCAATCCCTCATTTATTATCAATCACATGAAACTATAGTCGCCCCTGACCTATTCTAGGTTTATTAGGAGCCGAGTAAGGTGGGGAAAGCTTTCTACGAAATTTCGGATATGGGACTTGGTTACGCTGCTTTTACCTGAAGGCCGATGCTGTTAACTTCTCTTTTTTGGTAAAATCTTGTCACATGCAATCTTTTCAATTTTTACTCATAAACATTGAAATCTACATGGCCATACATAAATATTCCAAGGGTAAAGTGAAACAATCCATGATAAAATAAATAAAGATGAAGGAAATACAAAAAAGAAAACAAATCGAGCCTTATCGAGCAAAGTTAGTACAATACCCTGTTACAATGCCCCACGCAGGACCTCGTATGCTATGCATAAAAGGTAAATATGTGTCAAATCAAAAATAAAGTATCACAACTTACTTAACAAACTATAAATGATATGAATTAAAACTAGTAAAAACAAATTAGACTGAGCCTATCACGAAATACGACGAAAGCTTAAATGCACAAAAAAAAAATTGCGACCAAAAAAAAATGCACAAAAATGATTTTCTTCTTTTTGTTTATGAAATGAAATAATGTAAATAAAGTGTTACATGACTGACTATGTGCTATGTGATGCTAAAACGAAGAAATGAAGGGAGCCACCGAGGACCGGCTCAGAGAGGCGCGAGTAGATCTAGACTGGACTAATGCTCATTGTTCAGATCAAAAAGCGACCCGAACGACAAGCGGTCGGGCCTTAGAGCGTCCCCGTGTCGTGCCTCGGCGACCCTAGAACGGCACTCACACCAACAGCTAATTAGATCACCGAAAGCACGGATGCGTGATTGAACCCCGACGACATAAACAAATGAATGGATGCAAATACGACTCCGAGCTATTTACTTCCCCTTATTGATCACATTAAGACAGAATTTTATACCCGGAAATACGGTTTAAACATGTCTCGAACGGATGGGAAATTGCCTTATCGGGTGTGAGTGTCACTAGCGGAAATTCGCGTAACTTTCTTGATGGTAAGTGTACCGGCAAAGGTTAAGAAACGGCCGGTGGGCTCACGTCATAAATTACGTGAAACACGGGACCTCAAACTCGAGTTGCTCACCTTCATCGGGGACGGTCGATGCAGACAACGTGCAAAAGCCAAGGGGATCGCGTCAAAACTCGGCAAGATAATTGAGGGACTGAATTAAATAAATTGAAAGTTTATGGGTTAAATTGAATGTTTAGAAATAATTTATAGATGGCATTGAATGAACCAAAAGTTCAATGATGATATTATATTTTGGGGCTAAGTCTAGGGAGTTTTAGGGACGGCCCAAGCAAGAGTTCTTGTCGCCACACGTTATGGCCTCCCCGGGTTGGCCATGATTTGAACCATCACAAATGCCGCCAATATTGACGGGATGATTTCCTTCATTTTCTTTTTGGGGTGAATGATGTACCAACAAATGCTATTTGATTGAAACAACTGCAAGAACTTGCGTTTTGTGGACAATGATGGTTCTTATTGTGTTGAAGTGAATTGAAAGGGATCAAAAGGGGTGGGGAAAAGTGTCAGAAAAATCCTAAACCTATTGCATTTGTAAAAATTTAAATTTAAATCTTTTAATTGTGTCAATTTAGTCCTAAACATTTTGATCTAGTGCTAATTCAATCCTTCCGACTAATTTTGACTGGATATTGCTAACGCAGATGCTGGCCAACCTACAAGGCACCGCCGGCATTAATGTAAACAATTTATAATAATGATTTCTCGATTTTTTTTATTATATTCTGCTTTTCTTCCTTTTTCTTTTTTCCGAGTACAAGCCGACTGCCCTCACAAGCACCCTTAAGGTTAGAAGGCATTACAGCACCGCCGTCGTGAGCTGTCGCCCCAAAAATTTGGTCTCCCTTCGCTACTCTGAGTAAGATTTACCTTGATTGATGGCAAAACCAATGAATTATGCACATCTTCCCAATCTCATGAGGTCCGATGTCGTGAGAGGTTTATTTACAGATGTTTGATCACAGAGGTATAAAAATCTCGACCATGAGTAACAAATTCCCTCGTAAAGATGGCACCATCGTGTTCTCGTCAGTGCCTACAGCTCTAATACCTCGGCGAATTCATGGATGTACATATGCAGCCGATGATGAGGACCGCTGTGGATAAATGGTTTCGAAGACTGGGTTCAATGCCACTGGCATCCCCGGATTGAGATCAAAACGCACGATTCGAAAAATTATCTTCGCCTCCTGGGCGAGAATACATTACAGATAGCTAGAAGGGCGAGAATTGTGAGAACTTAAGAACCAATAAACAGTAAGAAATCAAATTATGACAGTTCCATGGAATGTGCAGCTAATGGCCCAAGTAAAACATTGAAAAAGCTCAATGGCAACAAATCCTAAAGACTTTGGTGTATTCCACTATGTAAAATTCCAGCCCTTGCCATCCAATACGATGTAAGTTCCGCCCACTCAATAAATAGCAACCCCAACGAGACAAGCCAGTGATTTCCCAAATATCAACTGAAAATTCAATGTCTAGGAAAAGGCCCGTCGCTTCGTCCGCTCCGCAATGCCTTGCAAACATTCTGGCTGGTTGCATCAAAATCCCATGCAGAAAGTTCGCAATCTACCTATACTGGGTGACGCCTCCTGCATATTGCCAGGTGCATTAACCAAAAAGTAAGAATATGACATCAACAAAACATAAAATTGCCATCTTATCGCAACTGTTCTGAATATGAGCACAATTGACTCCCAGAATCAGCTCAAGAAATTGACTAAAACTAGCTTCACAACTGAATTCTGCAATTTCTATACCAATCGCATTTAATTTCTTTTAACATATAGATATAGCTTTCAAACTGAACGCATCATGAACTAGTGCATAGAAACAATTCGAAATCGTAAACACGGAGTAATAGTCAGGAAGAAGAGGAGCAAAATTTTAAACTCCCCTAGCAACCAGTTGATCAACTTAAATTCCCATCAGTAAGATTAAGTTAATGAGAAAATTGAACTGAAAGTAAGATTTTTGTAATCCCTTGTGACGGATTATGTCAAACCATCTCAATCATAAAATTTTTATGATAAGATAGTGTAACATACCAAGGAAAGCATTTCAACAACACTGTAAGGATGGTCAACTACAAATAGAACTAGAAATGCTTAGTCACCCCATACATTAAGTCAATCTTTATGCTACATTCCACAACTAGATAACAAACTCAATGTGTAGTTACCTCTTGGGTCGGCCTCCTCTATCTTCTTCATAGTCCATCACTCCGCCAGGTTCAGAGTAGATCTCCTCATGCCCTCGGAAGTCAATGTCAGCCTGCTTACAGGGTGTAACTTCTGCCAGAACGTAAGTAAACCCCATCGACCAACATATCCCAGAACTTAAGCAAGGACTGATGCATCCAATAAATGTACACACCCATATACATACAAATTTTTGTGTGTATGCGTGCATGTATTAGCATACTCAAGTAAAATGGCAATTTCAATAGCATTTATCTCCTTAAGCAGTGCAAGATATTCAGCCAGACATAAAAGATATAAAAGCTTGATTGTGTAAATCACACTCGCTGCAGCTTATACCACAATTTTTCTATTCTTTATTCAGAATTGGTGGAATAAGATCACCTGTGCTAGGGCAATCTATTTAATACATACTCATAGTCATAACTAGTGGCTTTATGTGATTATAAGATTACATAAAAACTCGAAGGAAACAAACTTACGAGCTTAAGAAGAAACAATCCAATAAGGGAGAGATTTATTCAGTGCAAAACCTGATGAATGCAAAAACTATGGGAAGAAAATAGACATCAATCGAGAGGATGAGCATGGGTTTAACTGACCTTGAGGGAAAGAGACTTCTTCACTTCCTCCACTCTCTCTTCTACGTCCTTTCTGTGTTTCTTGTCCATCTCACTCATAGTATCAGCCCATTTTATCTTTTCTTGAATAGAATGAAGAAGATTGTCTGATGTAGTCAACCTAGGAATTCATTTTAGTACTTCAGGTCAACATATGCAATGACCGAATTCAGGTCACCCCTCAAATAAGTTTTGAAACTGTAAATGTGCTAAATGAAGCTTTTACAATATCAAAAGTACATGGGCTAAGCAAAGGGTAGCTTTGACCCTTCTACAGACCCTAAAATTTCCCCGAGAAGTCATTCAAAGGCGCGAGCCAGGGTGACTGAGACTTTATAACTCGAAAGATCCTTTTTCTGCTAGAATGCTTGACTGCATCTCTATATACAGTTGAGTCGAGAAACATGTTAGGCCTAATCATGGAAAAGTCGGCAAACAAGAGAGCCAATTACTACAATTACAGACATGTTCTTCTACCGAATTGAAATTGTTTCCTTTCGTTAGAACTAACAAGGAAAAGCTTTCACTCACCAATTAAATAATTGGCAAATTAATTAACTAATCTACCACCGCCACCATCACTTCCCACCCACTTCATCATCACCACCATCATCATTGCCATAAAACCATCTCTATCACAGCCACCTTCACCATAGTTCCCACCTAAACCACCACCACTGCCATCATCAATCATCACAGATATTGCCAATCATCACTACTATCATCCACTTTTCCACCACCACCAGATCCAATTGACCACTAATGATCCAACTTCAATCTCCTCCCAAATATTTTAGCAATTAAATGACTTTTAACTAAATATGTTAGTGAATCTACCAGGATGGTATCAAATGAATAAAATTACGTTAAGAAGTCCCAAGCTTGATGAGGTTAGGAAGTAACACATTATCGTAGAGCATGGATTTTCCACTTGTCTACTCTAGGCAATGTTGCACGCAAAACAAAGAAAACCTACCAGTCTGATAGTGTTTTTATCATATTCCCAAGTTGTCCGGGTCTCAAATCCCTCCCTGCAGCAAATTGCACCTGCAATGCACCCGACACAAAAATTTAAATCACACAATATACAATCAAAGACAAACAGTGTCACTCAAGGAGAAAAACATTCCACCGTTGTAAGAATTTCGTACCTCAAAGCATCTTCTCAACTGATCAAGCTTTCCTCTAACTATACCCTGAAAAGACAGATAACAATATTAGTACATTCATCGTCCCTCAATTGTTCATTATGCAATTATAAGTTCGCAACTTCTGTAATATTTTCACTTCTCTTCTACCCAAAGAAAACACAGCTGCCAGAAATAAAGTCGATGCTCAACTAAACATGAGGATTTGCAGTTTTGTATTATTTTAACCTTTTTAGCACGAGAAATGTCTCCACAACAACGAAAAACCATAGTTCAGACAACAAGATCAAAATCATGGTGGTGAAAGAAAATATTTGATGAAGCTTAGGGAGAACCTACCGCATACATACACTCATTAATAAGAAAATCTTCAAGTTCTCGTACATTTACAACATCTAACTCCAGCATTAGTTGATTGTATGGCAGCACCTGAGAAATGCCAAGAAGTCAGAGCAAAGAAGTTTAAAAAATTTGTCGGAGAAAATTAATTGACTAAAGAAATCAGGCCAATGGTATAAGTTAGAATAATCAGATTAAAACAAAAAAAATTAACATCAGTCCAACAGGGAGCATTGTGTGAGGAAATTCTCAATACTTGTTACCACATTTAAATAGTTCCTGGAAAAGACAAGACAATCCATTGTTTCTTCATGAGCAAACTTTCAGTTCATAGCCAGTCCGGGGGGGCACAAACGCCTTTGACTAATACAAGTTTAGTTATTTATTTATTATTTATGTTTTAAGTTTCTTTTTGGTTTGGGTTGGGGGGAGGGGGCCAAGAGAGACAGATTAATATTGTATGCCATGCAGAATCAGGACAGAAGCTAGCTACAAACAGTAACTGATGAGAGTTGCATGACACAGTTCAGAAGCAAATATTTGACAAATTTTCAATAAACTTCATTACCAACTGAATATGAACTAGAATGATCAGGGCTAAGTAGAAACCTTACATTCCTGTTCCACCTAGAGAATGAGATCCTATAAAATACTACTCCATGTTGAAAGAAAAAACCTAAACCCTCTCCAAGAACAAGAGAACTAAATAAAATCCAAATAGACCTTTCATAATTCTGATTGAGGCCAGAAACTAAACTTGGCAACAGTCCTATCCCTGCACAAACTAAGTTTAAGTAGAACAGGCATACAAATCTTATTCAAAGGAGATGTGATCTCAAACTGAGTGCATTTTCATCATACAAATTGATGACAATTCAATTTTCAGATCATCATCGACATGTTGAATAATTGTGAACTGCATAACTGACAACATCAATATTCTGGAATCATTGGCTATGAGTTTTCTTGAGTTGCTTTATCTACTCTTCGCGATTAATCCAACCCAAAAATGCCTCCACAAGTGGTATATCCCACTATGCCTAACAATGCACTAACACATAAAGATTGCACAAAAAGCCATCAGTTCACGATATAGCACCTTGTTTGTCTCAGCCAGAGTAAGCACAGTAAGTTGCTTTAGTTTGAGGACTTGATCAGGCACCAAGTGTGGTAGCTGGCCCACATTACCTACAACTCACAATGTTTCAGGCAATTCAGCTCAGGCCATCATGCCTGTTCCAAGAATAAACCAAGCATCTGGAGGTCTTTGCTAATCTTATATAAACAACTTTCTTCTTCATAAAAGTAAGAGATATGTAAGCTGTCTAGTCATGCCCTAGCCACAAACCAGAGGAGGAAATAATATAAGAACAGAAATGAGTAACATAAAAAGAATGCTGAAGTGTTTGAGACTATCATAAGTTTCATGGCATACAACCAATATTCAACAACAATCTAGATCATCAACAAAAGCTAAACGAATGAGACACACATCAATAATTCAGCGAAGGACAGCAGGCTCTAACCTTGGACTCAGGTCATTGAGTTGGAACTACTATTGACAATCTAAAATCTAGAATTTGCAAGTTATCCTATTATGCTTTAAAATCTAGAAGACCTACGATGAGCAGAAAAGAGTCCATAGAAAATAGCCAGTAGATAGCTTACTTTTGTAATCACTCCATGTGCCATGAGCAAACAAGCGTAGAACATCAAGGTATACAGAATACTCGGTCCCTTCAAGCTGCATAGAGTTTCAAAAAGGAATAAACAGGAATATTTGCATATCAGGATCCTCAGACAATCCAAAAAACAAAATAACCAGACAGATGATAGATACAAGCACACTGGAAAAAGTTGCAGAAAATGAAAATGTAGACTATTTAAGGTGAACCAAGGAAGGAAGATATGGATAAGATAAACAGATGGGAAATAAAACACTGCATGAATATGCTCCCATAGATTCAGATCTATTAGTAAACTAAGCAACTGGAGAGAGCCAGATAGACGTAGGCACAGACAAAACGAAGAGATCCGCCAGTATGCAATGGGAGCCTTTCAGAAAGGTATAGAGTGCTACTTCAATATGCCTCAGTAATGCATTTGGAAAGAACAAAAAAAGGGACAGCTCAAAGGATCTGCATTCATCTTATTCTGCCTTTGCTGATTTTAAGTGTTTATAACTTGATGCTCTAACCTTATGATAAATTAGTGTTTATTGCTGATGTACTTGAACAGTTCCTCTATAAATAAAATTTTGATTTGCCTTTAGAAAAAAATAGCCTAAGGGCATCTATATGCTATAATGATATAAATCGAGTCAGCTACAATACCAAAACTGAGCAAACAGAAAAGTAGAAGAATTGCATGTCCCCATAAATAGGATGAGAAAGACAGCTGCAGAAAAATCTTCCAGCAGTCCTAACAAACGCTTTCTCCAACTCATCCTAATCCCCGACATCACCTTAACAAAAACTTACGATGGCTGATTTCTGAGGGTGAACTAGAGATAACTCAAGGCAAGTAAGGTTATACAGTTTATTCACGATCTCATCACCGATGCTATAATCTTATATCCTGAAGTTATTCGATACAAATTATTCGATCGACATCAGAATAAGACCATCCAACATATTCGTTGGCTAAAAAGAAATAAAATTAACAGGAATCAACGCATGCATAAGAGGCCCCAACCAAAATAATCAGTCACAAAAGGAGCATCCTCTCAAGTTCGGATCATCTCGTACCAAACTTCATACAAGAAATAATCAATAACAAATTCCTCGGGCATCTAGAGCATTCGCAATCCCAAACCAAGGAGCGTTCCTTTAATTCCACTGAATCTACTGCTTCTACTTCTACAGCGAAATTATTAATCTTCTCATACAGACAAACAGAAGATCCAGCAAAGGAACCCTCCATACCGAAACTTCCTCCACAGGAAACACGAAGAAACCGATCCTGTTGCAGCCAATCAAGAATCAATACCCACATGAAGCCCGGGAGCCGCAATTTTCAGGGATGCCCAACTCTACAAATCCATCATTAGCCCCAAAAAAAGCACAAAATTCGAACCACCCAAAATCCATCATTCTACGATCAGGCAACTGCCCGTATCGTCCCAACTAATCCTCCCATTACAATTCCCAGGTCCATACCAAATTCCCCCAACCGTCGAGAAAATCGCAAAACAGGGTACAAGACACAATCTCCTGAAAAGCCAAGAAAACACGGGGAACAGATTCAAAAGAGACGGAAGCGAGTACCTCGAGAACGCTGGGGACGGAGAGAATCTCGGAGAAGGCGAAGAGGTTAGGGTTGGAGGTGGCCTCGGCGATGAGAGGGGAGAGGGCGGGGCCCTTCAGGGAGGAGGCTTGCTTCACGAAGTAGTCGATGAGCTCTACCTGTTTCTGCTCTATGTCCATCGTCCTGTACACCTCCCCCAAAGAAAAAACTATCGAACGAGAAGCAGGAGGAAGACCTAATTCCACAGAATCCTCTGATGGGTATGCGGCGCAGAAGACGAAGATGACGAAGAAGAAGAAGTGTATGGTGCTGAAAGAATCGAGCTTTGCTTCAATGGCGACGGAAGCTGAGATTTGAGAGCGCAGTCGACTGTAGAGAGAGAGAAGAGAGAAAAGAGAGAAGAGAGAGAAATTGAAAATAGGGTTTTTTTCTTTTTTTCTCTTTTCTCTCTATTTCTCGTTTGTAGGGGAAGCACATGAGGGAGACATGCCTGAGGTAGGAGCGTTGTCTAGTGGACACCTCAACGCTCTTTTACCTTCTCCTAAGCTCCTGTCGGGACTGTACGGCGCTCAGTTTAGTATCATGTCAATTTTTTTTTTCTTTTATAACTCAGGGAACCCCGCACGGCCGACAAATGGAAAGAACTCCCGGGCGACACGCGCTGCCCACCACACACGTGCCACCGCTTAGTTCACCCGCGGCGCCCGATTCGAACACTCAACCTACCTTTTGCGAGAGGAAGAGTGCGCGCTCCAGCAGCGCCACCCAGTATCATGTCATTTTAATACCGTGATTTTCGAAAAAAAAAATATTTTACTCCGGCGACTTATCTCCGACGAAGAATAACGAATCATCCGATGTGAACTTTTCCTTCCAAAGAGAGCTAAGTCCAAAATGGAGTGGAGGATCGTGACCCCCTGAACAATAAATTCTTTCGATTTCTTTACCTTCGATTAAGGGCAGGTCGAGAGAGATTGTTGCCGCCGTCCTCGATCGTAATGATTGGGGGCTCCTCCTCCTCCTCCCACTGCTCCTCCGACCTCCCTCGAGAGCTCGATCCCGATGCGGTGCAATCCACGCTTTGCGTACACGACCCCAAAAGCGCCTCCTCATTTTCTCCCGCCGGTCCGGTTTCTTTTCTGGGCGTGCCCTAGAACTTGCAATCCTTATCTATTCTCGTCGTCGTTCTCTGCAGCTCTATTTTTTCCTTTTGCCTGTGATGTCGCTGACTAAATGATCGGTACTAGTGCGTCGGTATCCAGGATTCCCATGATATCAATAGCATCGACCTTCTTCTTAAGGAAGAGCTCGACTTTGTTCAGACGATCATGAGTCGCTTCTCCCTGTTCCGACTCGCCATTGCAAATTTCGAAAAGCACCTTCTCGTGGACCTACAATTTTTTTTGTTTGCAGATGAAAATGGGGGTGTAGGGTTTTCGATTGGAACCTAATTTATCCCCAAATCATCAATTTGGGGTATGAAACGACGTCATTGTATATGCTTTTTATGATATTATTTCCCGGCAAGTCACAACGGGCGATTTTATATTAAATTAATGACACGGTGGATTTTTCGGCAAGGAGAATCGCCGACATCACTCAAGTTAACATTTTTTAAACTTTACAACATTTAATTAATCGATTGAAAAGTTATGACATCAAAGTCATGATACTATCGGTGGTGTCCTTTCTAGTTTTATTGTCCCTCTCTCTATCTCCAAGAAATGCTCATGTAATCGTCCCGAATCTACTATGAGAATAACAGTCTATTTTAGATCAAAAAAAAAATAACAACTAATTAGAAAATATTGTGAAGTCCATTCCTTCAAGAATTTATGGCTCACAATATGTTGATATTCTAACAATAGGTCAAAAACTATTATGCTAGCAAATTTTTTTTAAATAATAGCAAATATGGTGGCTTCTCTTCTCTATTCCTTTTTGGTAATTGCAAAAATGGTTGGCTTGGCATATTTCCCCTTATGGTCTATATGCCTTTCTTTTACCTTCCCAATAATTTACTAAATGGGTAATCAAATTTCAGGTGTCTAACGCTTTAGAAGTCCCATAAAGGATATCCGAAGGCCCAAAAGATGGAGACCGGCACCAGAGGTTGAAAAGCTTACATCAACTACTTCCTCTTACCATTTTTAGGGTGTATTTATTTTGCAAAAATTAAATAATTTGGAAAAAAAATTTCTCAAAAAATGACCACTTGTATCTAGGTCCTGGTGAGCAAACAAAACATTGGAGTTAATAAAATGCATGTAGAATAAGCGTTAATTAAATTTAATGAAAAAAAATTATCTCCTCTTGAATTTTACACACATAATTAGTTATTATAGTAATTGCAAATCTATCTAACATGGGGTCCCATGATATGATGATCATAATATGATCTCTTCATGGAAAATGGGTAAAGCATTTTACTTGAGAGGAAAATTTCTATAGAGTTGTCAATTCGAGTATAGCAAAGAGAACTCAAATAGTGTAGATTCACCAAGGTCGCGATCGCTAGCAAAACCAATAGTGAATTATTAATTGAAAAAATTCCAGTTGCATATATAACAAATCTAAACCTATTGTAATTGTGCCAATTCAATCCTAAACCTTTTTTTTTAATAATATTTTTATTTTTTGGATTTTTTTATTTTTTTTCTTTTCTTTGCTTTTTCCTTTTCTTTTCTTTTTCCCTTTCTTTTATTTTTCCCTTCCCTTCATCTTCATTGCAAAGAAAAGAAAAAATCAAAAAATCAAAATAATAATAATAATAATATTAAGAAATTGCCACGTCAGCGTCGGCCGGCCAGTTGGCGTCCACGTCAGCGCCGACCGGCCAAAATTTGCCGGATGGACTGATTTAGCACAAATGCAAAAGGTTTAGGACTAAATTTACACACACAAAAAAGGTTTAGAACTGAATTGGCACAATTACAATAGGTTTAAGAATTAAGACTGTTTTGGTAATTTTCCCTATAATCTTATATTAACTTGAGAAAATAATACCTCATTAGAGTATAATGAAAAATGGTAGTAACACGGCATATAATCGGACCATAACCTCGGAGGCAATCTAATTGTAACAAAACCCACTTGAGTTTTGCATGGACGTGTTACAAGCTAAGCATTACAAAGAATATGAACAGTTTTTGAGGCAAAAAAAAAATTATTTTCAAGAGTCACTCGAAAAATATAAGATGACATTATAAGACGATATACAGGAAAGTGAGTTTGGTCTCACTTTTTAGACTTTTCAAAACTACCCTCGGATGAATTAGCAAAAAGCAAAAGAAAAAAAAGAGAGATAAATGGCACATATCTCCTATAACTTCCCATTTTTTACTCTTTATCATGTAACATTATAACTACCTGTTTTCATTTCCTAATAACCAACTCACTTCACATACATGCATAGCGTGTGCTTCTTACGTTAGAAAAGCTACATACTAGTCAAGATAGATTTGGAGAAGATGTCCGATAGGTTGAGATGGGAATTCATTCGTATGACCCTTCTCATGGCTAGACTTCCTAGTTCGTCGGTGGATCTCATTATGTGATGTATTACGACTAACATTATGCAGCTGCTTTGGATTAGAGAACTAAGAGCAGTGTTCTGGCCTTCAAGAGGTGTGAAACAAGAGGATTGGCTTTCGCATTACATATTTGTCCTTTGTATGGAGCGGCTTTCTCACTTAATCATAGATTTAGTTGAGAAGGGTGATTGGAAGCCGTTTCAAACCCGTCGAGGAAGTCTCGTGATCTCTCATTTGATATTTGCAGATGATCTCCTTTTATTCGCTGAAGCCTCTATTGACCAAATGCAGGTTAGTGAACAATAATGCCTCGCAATGCTTCAGGTTGGAAGGTTAGTGCTACTAAATCCAAATTCTATTGTTCTAGGAATGTTCCTCCGCACAAAATGCTCATATCAGTACTATGGGAGGCTTCTCTCTTACAAGTAATCTTGGCAAATACTCAGGACTGCCTTTTGCTTCGTGAACGAGTTACTCGAAGAACTTAAGAGCCTATTGCCAACAAAGTACACAGTATATTGAGTGGGTGAAAAGCTGAAAATCTATTTCTTGCGGGAAGAATCGTCCGGGTTCAATATGTTGCTATGGTTACGCCATTATATGTGATGCAAGTTGCGAAGTTGCTTGCGATAACATGTGAATAGGTCAAGTGAAATAGTTGAAATTTTATTTGGGGAGATGTTCAAGACGAAAAAAAGATGCATCTAGTGAAATGATTTCTGCTTTACCATCAAAGAATTGTCGTGGTTTAAGAACAAGTAATAAAGGATTCCTAACGAAAGTTGCTTGGTCTTTAGTTTCGAAGTGAGAGTCTTTATTCGAGATAAGTATAACTATTTTAAACTATTACCTTATTCCATTCCAACTCGTACAACTTATTCTTTACTCTCAATGAAGTATGGTCTAAATTCTTGGACGGTACGAGATGGGTAATGGCTAATGGGAGAATAGTTCTGGATTAAAGAGTTGGTCCCCTTGTCCATATCTGCTATAATTCCAAATATCGAACGTCTTTGTTCTTGATTTTGTTTGTAAACAACCAATAGAGTCTCACAAGTCTAGCACGTGTTCTGTCTCAATCAATTTTGATCTGAATTTAGTCCATGCTCCCACCTTCAGATTGTGATGGTAATGATTTGTTGGTCTAGGACAGCAATAACAGTGGTTGTTTCTCTGTTAAATAAGCTTACGAATTGATCTCACCGAAACATCAATTGCTTACTAAAAAAACTCTGGAACCTAGTGTGGAAATGGGATGGGTCGCAAAGGGTTAAGAATTTTTTTAGCCTAGTTTTTTACTAGCGTCTACTTATTAATTTATGAAAGATTCCAACGTAAAATTACTGTGGATTCCTTTTGATTGTCTTGTGCCCAATCCTCTAAAACAATTTTACGCATGCTTAGGAATTGTAAGTGTGCAAAGGCTGTTTGGAAAAAGATTTTGCTAGCAAGCTTAAGGGAATTCTTTACCCATGATCTACACAAGCGGTTATTGGCAAATCTATCTGCTTCAACATTTCTGGAAACTTACTGGTGACTAGTTTTTGGTGTGGCTTGTTGGCATTTTTGGAATTGGAGAAACAAAAGATTACTTTAGACGAAACTTTTCTTTTCTCAATTCACTTGTGAGTCGGATTTTGGGATATGTTACGAACATTCTTTTGGTTCTTATGACTGAAAATACATTGTC